CCTGGGGGGGGGGGTAATGCAGGCTTGGGATTTGGGGACAGGGACCCCTCTGTGCTGGGACAGGCTGCCCATTCTGGGCCTGCTGGCAGTCTGCTGGCTGCCCACATGTGCGCTGAGTTCCCCCGTGCTCAGCCCAACGCCTGTGCCATAACTGAGGGGTTCACAAAGCTTTCCTGGGGGGGTGTTTCAGCCCCTGCTTGGGTGGGAGGTGCCAAAAAAAGAGGGGTTACAGCGTAGGGAGGGGGGAGGAGGACAAAAGCCAAGCGTGATTGGGACTGGGAGCATCCCGCTGGCTCGGCTCCTCTCGGCTGGCTGCCTCCAGCGCGGAAAAAGCCCCCTTGTCTGTGGGATCAGCCGCTCCGCTGCGCTTGTCTGGATGGGGACAGAGGAAAAAAGGGCTCATGACTCTCCCAAAGCCATGGGGAAAGGGAAGGGGGGTGCCTGGCTCGTGAACGCTTTTCCGAGAGGAACAAGAGTACAAATCATCTGAGCCACGATGGTGTGGAGCAGCCTGTCCAGCCCCACCACCAGCCCCACAGCTCCCTGGGCTGTGGGGGGGTCACAGCAGGCTGGGCTCTGCCCACTGGGCTGCCAGGGAAGAAGGATGAAACCTGGTGGGTCTGGGGAAGCAGAGGATCTTCAGCATCTCGGAGTGGGAGTTGGTTGAGGAACCTGGTAGGATTAGGGAGCCCCAGGATGGGAAGGATGTGGCTGCAGGGCTGGGGGTGAGAGGGGCTGGGACTGACCTGGGACCCAAATGGGGTGGGAAACGTTCCCTGTGCTGGTAACACACATCCTTCCTCCTTGCAGGCCAGGATGGCTCCCCAAATCTAGCCAGGGAGCCCAGAGCGGTGCCGGAGGTCCCTGTCCAAGTGATGGTGGAACCGGGATAGAGGAGCTGCCGTGAGGATGCCTGAAGCCAAGTCCCTGAGCTCCTCTTGCCTGGTGCTTTCCTTGCTCTCCTTGCACTGGGCTTCACTCCAGCTGGGCCAGGCTTTTCCCAGCACCTCCAACTACCTCCAGCGGGGCTGGCAGAGGCTGCTGGAGGAAGGAGAAGGCTGTGCCGAGTGCCGGCCGGAGGAATGCCCGGCGCCGCGCGGGTGCCTGGCTGGCACGGTGCGGGATGCCTGCGACTGCTGCTGGGAGTGTGCCAACCTGGAGGGACAGATCTGCGACCTGGACAACACCAACCACTTCTACGGCAAGTGTGGGGAACACCTGGAATGCCGGCTGGACGCCGGGGACCTGCGTCACGGAGAGGTGCCCGAGCCCCAGTGTGCCTGCATCTCCCACCTGGCCCTCTGCGGCTCCGACGGCAAAACCTACCCCCAGATCTGCAGGTTCCTGGAGGTTGCCCATGCCCACCCCGATGCCAACCTCACCGTGGCCCACGAGGGTCCCTGTGAGTCAGGTAAGTGTCCTGGGAGCAGCTGGGATGGAGGCTGGTACCTCTTGGGAAGGGTCTGGCAGCAAACCCACAGCATCCACGGAGGGCACAAGCACCCCAAAGTGGCAGGTCCTCCCCCCCAGGTCCCCCCACCCTCCTGCTCCGGGGTAGCCCTTGTGGATCCAGCACCTGGAACGGTCTCGGAGCATCTTTGCCAAATGGGAGTGGGATTTATGGGAAGCAGCAAATCCTGCTGGAGCAGATGGGGGAGTTCCAGGGAATTGTTAGCGAATTCTTGGCGGCGGCGCTGGGCTCACGCTGGCCCGGCACTCCCCAGAAATGTGTCTGCCTCCTGCAAATGGAAACCTGGGTCAATTTGACTCGCCTGCGTGATTTCCATCTCCCCTTTAAAACCCAGTGGGGCTGGGGGGGCAGGCAGTGGTGGGGGGAGATCATGCCCCAGCCTGCCCAGTCCACACAGGTCACGCAGTGCTGCCACCACAGCTTGAGGGGCATCAAGGTTGACTTTATTTCCTGTAAATCACCATGGCCTTGAGTATTTCCCCCAGGTGTATTCGGAGGTGGAAGCCTTCCCTTGACCTCCAGCTCATGCTAATGGGGCAGATCCTGGAGCAGATGTGGGTGGGAAGGGTGGTCCTCTTGCCATCCTTCTAGGGAAGGGATGTGGGACCTGGAGGAATTGGCTCCGTACTGCATCTGGGGATTTTCTTACTCCCCTAATTCCTGGCATGAGCCTGGTGCCAGAGCAGAGGCCTCATTTGGCTGGAAGCTCATCCCCTCCATCCATCCCCACCAGGCTTGGGCTGGAGGAGAGCCCTTGGGCCTTGGTCCCACAGGAGGAGCATGCTCCGATTGTGCAGGAGAGCTTGGCTTTGGATCATTGCTCTTCTTGAGATGTTCCTGCTGCCCGTGCTCTGAACATCACTGCGCGGGTGGGGAAAGGGAGGTCAGGAGGGATGGCAACCCCCCACAGGTCAGAGTGTCTGGAGTGGGAGCCCCCAGTCCCGGCTGCAAAGAGGGACCATGTCCTGGGGCAAGGTGGGGGTCTGCCATGGGTGGGAGGGGAGAGGGGCATGGGAAGGGGCCCAGCATCTCTGTGCAAGCCAAATGCTCCCACCCTGGAGGGGACCAGCCCATGAGAGTCCATGGGACCTGCCGAGGGTAGGACTTCTGAGCCCACCCTACTCTCCTGTCCTCCCTCCCCAGAGCCCCAGATCACCTCTCCTCCCTACGACACGTGGAACATCACTGGGCAGGATGTCATCTTTGGCTGTGAGGTCTTCGCCTATCCCATGGCATCCATCGAGTGGAGGAAGGATGGTATGGAGATGTTGCTGCCTGGAGATGACCCCCACATCTCTGTCCAGGTGAGCAGTGCACCTGGGACGTTGGACCCAGCCCTTCCCAGAGTTTGTGGGCAACCAGACCTGAGGGTGGTCATCTTCTGGGGGTGGCCAAGCCTGGCTGCCTGGGGATGAGAAGGAGTGACTGGAGCCTGCACGCTATGGGGACTGGCTGAGCCAGGGCTGGTGTCTTGGTGGTAGAAGCCATCAGCATAGTTCTCTTCTGCAATTTTCTCTAGTAGCTTTTGAGTGTTTTTTTTTTAGGACCTGCAGAGTCCTGCACCAGGGGGTTTCCCACCTCCCTGTCTTAAGTTTGATCTGCTTCTTGGCTTTGCTCCAGAAGTCCCACCAGCAGGGCTGGAGGAGAAGACCTCCCATGGCACCTTCCAGCCTGGGTTGTTCTCCTCTCCCACCAGCAGACTTGGGCAGTCCCTGCCTTTTTCTGCCTGTTGTTTCAAGCAGACCTGGGAGGCCCAGGGGTCAGCATCTTGCCCACAGCCAGCCCCAAATATAGTGCCCAGCTGGGCGTACCCAGCTATTAGAGGTTGTGGGCACAGGCAGGGGGGCCACCAGTCAGGAACTGGCTGGGAGAACACTGGTGTGGGATGGATGGTGGAAGCCAAAGGAGCAAGTGGAACCTGGCACCTTTGCAGGGTGAGGTGGGGTACCCCTCCATCTTTCTCACCTTCATGGCACCCCATACCCTGTCGCAGAGTCCAGCTGAGGACCTTCACCCTGAGCAGGGCTACCCTGCCTGGCTGGAGGAGACTCAGTTGTCCTCCACCCCTGGCCACTGCCCCATAATAGCAGCCTGCAAACACAGCTGCAGCCCAGCTGGGTCAGGAAAAGGCTATTTATTCCTTGGGACAAAGAGAAAATAGCACGGTTGGCGCCAGAGCAGCCCTGGGACCTCACTGCCCGACGAAACAGGGGACCTGGGGCTCCTCTGGGCCACCCCAGGCTGGCTGTACCCGTGGCACTCGTACCCCCTTGCTTCTACCGTGCTGCAAAGCACCAACACCAGCATCCTCCCACCTTTCGGGGACCACAGTGGCACTGGGGGCACCATTGGGAGTCCAGGGCATGTCTGAAGGTCACTGCCTAAAGTAGGGCTCCCAAACCCTTCTTGGGGCAAGAAGATGCCCGTTCCCCCTCCTCTCCTGGTTAGTGGGAAAAGGGGCCACCTGCAACCAGGGGGTTGATGCCCACCCCCAGGATGGTACTTTGTAGGGGGGAAAGAGGTTCCCTGGGCCTGTGTCCCCCCCTTCCCATCCAACCCAGCCCCACGTGGGGCTTTCCTGGCCCCAGCGCTAACCAAAACCCTCCACCCCTCCTTGCAGTTCAGAGGTGGCCCCCAGAAATACGAAGTGACGGGCTGGCTCCAGATCCAGGGCGTGCGGGTGACGGATGAAGGCACCTACCGCTGCTTCGCCAGGAACAGGGTCGGGGAGGTGGTGGCATTAGCCAGCCTGACTGTCTTCACGCCAGGTGAGCACCATGTCCTTGTCCCCACGCTCTCACGGGGACAAGGGGAGGGGACATTTGAGCTGCCTGTGCACAGGACCAGGCTGGGGGTGCCCCAGCAAGATGCCGTGCAGGGTTTGGCTTTGGTCCTGGTGGGTGGAGGGGGAAGGCACCAAGAGGGACAATGTCACATTGTCCCCGTGCTGCCGTTTCAGACCAGCTCAACCTGACAAGCTTTTCCCTGCCGAAGCCCCACACGATGCCTGAGGACTACGGGGAGAGCGAGGAGGACTATTACTAGCCCGGAGATGGGATGGCCGGCTGCAGAAATCACCTTACCACTCGGTGGCCTCTTCCCGAGGTTTGGGGACATCTCCAGAGCAAGCAACCTCCAGCCCAAAACTCCTTCTCTGAGCAGTCCTGGTGCAGCAGCCTCTTTTTTTTGGGGTGGGGGAAAGGGTGACACATCCCCCAGGCTGGGGGTGCTCGGGGAGGGGACACTCACTGGCTGGTTGGTGGCTCAGGGCTGGAGCTCTGTCCTCCAGGCACCGAGGGGGAATGCGTTGGCAGGTGGGACACTGTAAGGAAAGTCATGCTGTGTGTGACAAGGACTTGGTGCTTGGGGTACGGGCAGCCCTCCCCGGGAGAGGGACACCAGGACAGGGACATCTTGGGGGAGCCCGAGCAGTGGGCTGGGACCTGGCCATGACACCCAGCGTGTCACCCCTGGGGCTGATCTGCGTTCCCCAAGCACGGGGGAGAGTCTGACTTCTCCCCGGGACCCAGAGAACCTGCTGCCAAAACATCCTTTTTTCTCCCATTTAGCCTCGAACCGGAAAAGTAGTGATTTGAGGAAACCAGATGCTTGTGGTTTTCAGTGCTGTCTTCTTCTCCAGCCCAACCACGAGTGTGGTCAGAAACACTTTTGGCCTTTTTCGACGGACTTTGTGCTTTCCCTTCCGTGCAGCCCTGCCCTTTGCCATTTTGGTTACTGATGGTTAAAATATAGACGTAGAAAGGGACACAGAGCAGGCAACTGTCCTCTGGCCATGGTGACTATTCTTGGGGTGAGAGAGGGTACAAACACTATGGATGCTACCTTGTCCTTCCCAGTGATGCTTGGGTTGGGGAGCCCGTCCTGGGGCTCACAGCTGGTCCTGGTGTGGGTCCTGCCCCTCGTGAAGATGAGGGTACCCAGCAGACCATCCCCTGTGCAGTGAGGATGCATCAAGCTGGATCTTTGCACCTCCATTGGTTCGGGTCCTATTCCACCTCTGCCTACCCTCATCTTGGGGTCTTCTGCCCCATGGGGGGCACTGGGCATCTCCACCCTGGTGACCATAAGCCCTGCCAGCACACAGGGGGCAGAGCAGCTCGGTGCCTGGCTGGGGAAGGACAGGGAGGCTCCCATTTCCACTGGAAATGCTCAAAGAAAACTCACCTGCCTCCAAGAGCTGGTGTTTTAGAGCAAATTCATTTTAGGAGAAGGTTAGGAAAGAAGCCCAGAGCTGTGGAATGCTGCTCCATGCCCAGAGAGGGCTGGCAGGACCCCTTCCTGTGGGCATCCCAGGGCTGAGCTCACACTCAAGGGGGGCTTTGCCTCCTCCCCCGCCAAAAACTATCAGAATTTTAGAGGGTTTTTGAGACTCAAAAACCCTCTATGGACTGAACTGCTCCTGGTTACTCAATCCCAGCTCCAGGGAGGTCCAGAGCCAGACCCCGGGAGGAAGGAGCTGGCTTGTCCCCAGGCAGGAGCGGGCAGGATGCGACGAGGCTGGTGGCTTGGGCACCGCACCGCTCTCCTTCCCCTTTAGTTTTATATTTTGTTTTTTCCCTGTTCTTTTCTTCCTCTTTCTCTCGAGAGCTGGCTCAGACGATGCAATTATGGCATCGAAACCTGAACAAGCAAATAAAAGGGATTTGTCTGGAGTTGGCAGCGGAGCCAAATTCCTGCAGCCGGTGAGGCTGGGCCAGCCCTGGCCCCTGCGCCGCAGCCTGACAGGGCACAGCCGGCAGCGTCCTGCCTGTCTGCGGGGCTGCCTCCCCTCCAAACCCCTCCTCTGCTGGGGAAACGCAAAAGCCACCCTTTAGTTTCTCCTTCCATTTAATAGCATCCTCCTGGGGCTGCTGCATCAGCGTCAGAGGGTGTTGGGAGAAGCCACAGGCAGAAATGTGCCGTTTGCTTTTATTTTGCTAATTTTTTTTTTGGTTTTTTGAGTGTAAAAAGCTGCTTTTGGAGAGGCTAGGGTGTTTTTCACCCACCCTGATTCCCTTGTTTTCACACACAGCTCAGCTGGTGGAACTGGGCCACGCTGAGCCTGAGGCTGCCGTGGAGAAACCTGAGAGCGTCCGTCCCGAGAGCTGCTCGCCGGGTTCCCCGCCAATGCCCGGGGCTGGCCCCCAGCCAGGGCTGCCATGCCAACCCTCCCCAGGGCCAGGCTCCCCCTTGCCCACTCCGGCACGAATCCAGGTCACTCTGGGTGTGGGTGCAACGTTGGGCTGGTCCGGGGGGGTTTGGATGGGTCAGACCCTCACCCCTGGCTCTCCCCGTGCTTTGTAGGGTGATGCTCTGCTCGGGCACGGATGGGCATCCACAGTTTGGGTTCAGCCCTTGCCTTCCTCAGGGCTGTACCCGGTCCCTGTGGTACCCCCCCGGGGATGGGATGCTGTTGGCTCCTGCTTCTGCCCAGGCAGGGGGGGCAGAGGGGATGTGGTGTCTGTGAAAAAAGGGAAACTTGAGCAGCTCTTCCTCAAAATGGCCAAAATTAACCCAACTGGAGGCTGTGTATCCCAGTTTGCACAGATCCCAGTGCAAAGGACTGAGATGAGAGGACTGTCTGAGTCGCAGCCCCGCTCCCCCCCAAGGATGAGGGGGCAGCAGGGGGGTCCCAGGGACACGGAGGGGGTCGGTGTCCCCCGTGCCCTGGCTCCCAGCCTTGCCATTTCCAGCCACTTAAAAATTAAAGGAGCCAATATCGCTGCACGGCTGGAATCGGTCACTGCCACAGAGCTTAATTGAGGTTATTTGTTGGCTCTAGGAACGCGTGGTCAGCTCTGCTGCTGGCTGCTTCCTGCAGCCCCCACCCTGAGGAGAAGGTCCCCCCCCCAGGATCTGTGGAGCAGGTGATGCTCTGCTTGGGTCTGGGCACCTGGAGGAGCCTGGGGACCCAGCCAAATTTAAGGTGGTGTCAGTGTGGGGACAGAGATCATGTCAGAGCAGTGTGCAGCACAGAATCCATTCGCCAACTGATTTTTGGGGTGGTTGCTCCTTCCAGCCCAGCTGCTGGTGCTCAGAGCAACAGCTCAGTCCAGATGTTGGGCTGACGTCAGGCACGGGATCAGCTGGACTGGGAAAGTGCTAACGTGGCTGCTGGCCCTGGGCACGCACCAGCCCTGGCACCTCCTGGCCACCCAGGGTGAGCGGGATGAGGGCATCTCCCTGGGCACTGGAGGTCACCACGAGGCTGGGGACAAAGAAAGGAGGACTCATCCTGCTGGCATCTGAAAGACCCTGAAGACACATACTAAGAGAGTCCAAACTATGTGGTTAAAAACCCGCTGGACCCCAGCCTGTGGGAGGACACGTGGAGGGCTGGCACTGCCCTGCCACTGTCAAGCATTTTGGCCACCCCTGTTGTGTCCCCTCAGCTCTGGGTGCCAAGGGGGGAAATTCAGGTGAACCCCCCCACCTCCAGCCTCCAAACCAGCTGCTTTCTGCCCCAAACTTGCCATTCTCACACCCTGCTGCAGGCTGCTGGTGGGACCTCAGCTCTTCCCACCCCTCCAGCCCCTGGTGTGGGGGCACCATCCAAGTCCTCAGCCTGCCCCAGGGACCACTGTGGGCCAGGAGGCCACTGAGATGGTCAGTGGCTGAGCCAGAGATGACACCAGAGTGCCCTGCTCCCCAAACAACTGATGTGACACCCCTGGTACCTCCCCCATCCTCACACCCTCCCAGTGATGCCCAGGGCTCGCCTGGCACGGGGATCTGGAGCAGCCACCAAGCCACAGGGTTTTGTGCTCTGCAGGGAAATCGCCGAATTTGGCAGGTAAATACGAGCCCACAGCAAAAAAAAACCCACGTTATCTCCGTTCTTCCCTGCCCCTCGGGGGTGCCAGGACCTGCCCCCAGCCCGGACCCGGGCAGAAGGTCCATCAGCGCCTCCATCCCAGAGTCCAGATTTGGGCCATTATCCGCTAAATAGTGCCATCTTCTGGCAAAGCCACCGGCCACGCCGAGCCCTGAGCAGGGTGGCCAGCGAAGGCATCACACAGGGCTTTGGACACCCCTTCAGCACTTTGACCCCCCCCAAAATCCAACCCTGCTCTCTCCATGCCCTCCCCTTACCCCCTGGCAGCAGCTCTGCCTTGTTGGGCGATGCCATCCCGAGGGATGCGGGGGATAAAGTGTCCCTTGGGATGCTCGTGAGAGCCAGAGCATCCTCTTGGTGCTGGTTTTGGGTGGCTGCAGCAGGCACAGCTGGGATGGAGATGTTCAGCTGCTGTGCTGGGGGATGTGCTTTAAACCAGGGTTCCCACTGAGAGGATGAGGGGCAACGGGCACAAGTTGGAACATAAGAGGTTCCACTCAAATATGAGGAGAAACTTCTTCACGGTGAGGGTGACAGAGCCCTGGAACAGGCTGCCCAGGGAGGGTGTGGAGTCCCCTTCCTTGGAGATTTTCAAGACCCGCCTGGATGCTCCTGAGTAACATGCTCTGACAAGCTCTAGGCAATCCTGCTTCAGCAGGGGAGTTGGACTAGATGATCTCTATGGTCCCTTCCAACTCTAAAATTCAGTGAAATTCAGTGAAAAAGGGTGAAAACACCTCTTGCTGGTCCCTCTGAGCTGTGGGTACCTCCCATGGGAGGTGGATGGCTTCTGGCAGGGATCTCAGCAAGGCTGAGCTGAATGCTGGTCACGCCTGGATGGAAACTGGCAGCGCTGGAACCTCACTCTGCTAACGGGTAAACTGAGGCACGGAGCAACCAGGCATGGGGAACTCAACCAGAGCCAAGGAGACAAACCGGGCAGAGCAGCCAGCTACACCCAGGACTTCTGTCCCCAAACTGTCCCCATCCCCTCGGGGAGGTGGGGTGGAATTTTCCCTTGGAGCCTCTGCAGGGCATCTCTTTGCCCTGCTGTGCTGATTCAGGGAGAAAATAAAATAAAAAATAAAAAACCAAGACTGCTTCCCTGCCTCCACCCAGCACTTACGCCATCTGATAAACAAAATGGAAATAAATCCTCCTGTATTTGCAGCAAATAGGTCTCCACGGGGGGTTGCTTTCAATAATTCAAATGCCGTTGCAGAGCAGAGCCCACGCCAATGGGTTTTAATAAACACAGCCGTAATGTGACATGCAATTTATTATTAAGCTTAAAACAGGAAGCAAAGAGTTTAATAAAAGCACCAGGTTCCCCGTATCAGTCACGACAAGCCGGGCAGCGGGGGGGGAAGGGGGGAGGCTGTGGGGGGAGGCTGGCCGAGCTGGCTGTAGGGACACAGCCAGGAGGGTTTGCTTTGCCTGAGCTGGGACCACAGGGATGACCACAGGGACCCCCAGCAGGGCATGGAGATGTGAGCCAGACCAGGGATTATTATAATAATCCCTATAGATATCTATAAATAATAGAATAAAGCCTTGGGTTCAGCTCCCCTCCCTCTCCCCCAAGATTTTCTCACTCACGTCCCTTCCTCACTCAGCTCCACCTGGGGCTGCTCTTAAAAGCAGGCAGAGGGGGGAGCTGGGCTCCTGGGGATGGAGTGGCTGGGCAAGGTGAGGAGCTGCAGGGTCTGGTGGCAGGAGCTGGTGGTTGGCACTGCACCAAGCATGTGTGCCACCTGCCTGGCTGTGTGGATGTGTCCCTTCAAGCCCTGGGTCTTCTCAAGGGGGCTGGTGATGGGGTTCTGTGGGGAGGTGGCTCTGCTGAGGGATGGAGCTGGGTGGGAGGTAGCTGGTCCAGCAACATCTGGAGGTGCCACTGTGCATAGATGAGGGGTGAAGGAGGTGGCAGCATCCCAGCATCGTCATCTAGCAGGAGCCTGGCTCTGCTTTCTTGTTGTCCCTCCTGTGGGCTTCCCCAGACACTTGAATGTTGACACTTCCCCCCAGGAATGTATCTTTTTTTGCCTCTTCTCATTTGGTCTTGTGTCCTGGATCAGGATACAAACTCAAACCTTTCTGTTTGTGTAGGGATCTGGCAAACTCCAGTCCCTGATCCCACAGAGACCAGACCAGAAGCTGGAAGAGGGGGGACACATGGTGTGGGGACTGCCTATGCTGGTCCCCTATGGAAATGGGGTTTGTGTGACTGTCCTTGCACTCTGGCTTGGGGGAATGGCCTCAAGGAGAGGAACTTCTCTGGGTGCAAGCTTTGCTCGTGCTATATTAGACAACAGAGTCCTTTCCCCAGCAAGGCGATGCGGGGCTTGGTCCCAGTTCAAACAACCTGGGGCTGAGCCAGGGCCTCTGGGGCACCTGCAGCTCCTTCCATCAGAGCAAGCAGCCTCCTATCTCAAGGAGGGCTTTCCAGCCAGATAAAGCCATGCAGGCAGCCCCCTTCCTCCAGCCTGGCTGGGACACTGGCAGGGCTGTGCGTGGGGCAGCTTTCGCGGGCTCTTTAGCTGGTGTTGACAGCAGAGGGTTCATGCTGGGATTGATGCTAACACCCTCTGGCTTCTGCCAGCACCGGTGCTTGGTGGAGCCTGTAAAAAGCTTTAACTTGATACTGCTTTTTTTTTTTTTTTTCTCAGCTGTGTTTGCTGAAAGCTCCACTACCTCTGGCTTTAAAAGCCCACGGGCTGCTGATGTGACTCTGTGTATGTCCACTGCCGAGGCCACAAGT